CGGCTGGAAGGCAAACACCTTTAGCCAGGTTGAATGCCATCAGGTGATCTTTCTTTGCGACCACTGAGTCAGAATCCGTGATAGCACGGTTCTGAAAGGTGATTTTTAGAGCCCACTTGGAGGAGGTAGCTTGGCCAGAGTGCTCCGGCTGTGGGCTCGGTGGAGGAGTTGGTAGAGTGGTTTTTGAAACCACGGTTTCGTCTTCATTAACTAGACGTTGCTCGGTTGGAGTAGTACGGGCACGCTTCCTTTGACGAGATGATGAGGGTTGATGAGATGGAAGGGCCACCATGGTCTCCTGAGGTTGACCGGCTGGTGGTACCTCGGCTGGGTTTGTTTCGATGAGAAGGGCTCGCACGGCTCTCTTCTTGGCCATTTCTTGTTCAGCAGTAAGTGGGGTAAGGTTGATTTGAGGCAGGGATGGGTCCGGTTCGGGTGAGGCTTCTAGCAGAAAGTCAGTTACCCTGGTCTTTCGTTTTCCACTGTATCGGTAGGTCGGTTCAAAATTCAGCAGGTCAGTCTAACTCCGGCCTGGATATCTCTGCGCGGCGCGAAGCACGTTCAAGTCGGGGTAGCTGTATTGGGACTTAAGCAAGTTCCTATCTGCAAAAAAGAAAGACAACATTTAGTTCTGTTCACAATCAGAAAACCGAAATAACAAGAAGAATGCAGTAAAGCCGAGGTAAACCTACTGACTAAACCCTTGTTCCAGTTTATTCTGTGGCCTGGGATCTGGGCTTGGTGGTCTTCAAAATTCCCAGATACCCAGAAAAAATCATCATCGTTCAAGTCTTTGTCTGGTGTGTCCTTTATTATTTTTTCACGCCAGCACTTTATTCGTAAGTAGTAAACCCAGCCATCTTCGGCTGATCCTATGGAATACTGGTGGAAGAGCTCGGCGAGACCGAGGTTAAGGCCAGCCCGGCGGTTTAGCTCGGCTATTCCGTTTATTATGCAGTAAGAATTGGTGGAAAGTTGGGTAGGGCAGAGTTTGGTTTGCCTGAGGAATTCACAGAGTAAAGGCTGTACAGGGAAGCGTAGACCGCACTCCACAATGGAAATAACATTAAAAGGGACAAAGCCCTGTTTACCCCAAGGAACGATTTCTAGGTCGGCTAAGGTCAGGTGAACATCATCAGGGATGTTATAATCCTTTCGGAATTCAGCCATACCACCAGGTGTGTTTACTAAAAACCTATACTTTCCCATTTGTGGTTTAAGTTATGAATAAATTATACTTGGGTATTAGCTCGGTCGGAAAATGGTGCCGAGTAGCTCGGTTGAGCGCTCAAAAGAATGTCTGGGCAACCTAAGTCTGCAAAGTGAAAAACAAAGGTTAAGCACAGATCGTTGGATCGTGCTAAAAGAAACACTGGCAAGATAAATGAAGTCCTAGCCCGACTATGTGAGTTGCTTCGTGTCTTAGCTCGGTTTGAGCAAGGGGTCTGTTAGCTCGGTTCAAGCGAAGGTTTGCTAGCTCGGTTTGAGCACGGGATTGGTTAGCCCGGTTGAGCCTAAGGGGCAGCATTCTTAGTTCGGTTTGAACTAAGAAGGCTGGTTTAGCCCCGGGTTGTAGCTCGGTCATGGTCGAGGCTTTCAAGCATACTATTACAAACGTAGCACGGATCAATAGCCCGACTAAGATAATTGAAACGAAAGATGGTTCGACCTGATGAAACTACTAGTTTAGCATGAAGTGCTAGTCCGGTTAGTAGTCTGGCTAGATTGACATCAACTACAAACGACTTCCTAGTTCGGTTATATTGTGATTTTGGATCAAATACAGTGTTCTACAGATTGCTTAGTGAAATACAAGTGGTTCTTGTAAGGTTTTCCCTAGAAAATGCAAGGAAAAGTAAAAATGTGTTTTGCAAAAGGCACATAACACAATATGCTGTGGATTGAAAACAATACAGTGTAAAGAGAGAACAGATTTGTGTTACTTACCAGGTTAAGATGAAGGAAATGGAAGTAGAGAACAGCAAGGACCACAAGCTTCACAGTTGCAAAGTTGAAGAACAATAGAGGTTCGAAGAGAGAAAGAAAAGGAGGTGAATAGTGGCATGAGTGATTCAAAACAAGGGTCTGTTTTGTGTAGAAGAAATGACGAAAATGCGGGAACTATTCAGAAAAACACGAGGTACGAAGACGGCGTGACAGCTGCCTTCAGCCAATGAGAGCATGCCACGTGTACTTGGAATGAGAAGCGATATAGTTGCTGTGATTGAAGGGACGTTTTGACCGGACAGGTACAGCCTGGCGTGAATTTAGCTCGGCTAGAAAGGCTAAAAGAGTTTTAGCTCGGCTGGAAAAGCTTAAAAGCTTAGCTCGGTAGTAAGATTAAAGTTTTTAGCTCGGCTGGTAGACAAGGTAATCCCTATCATGCTACGCAGATAGAATTAAGGGGCAATTGAGAGGGTAATTTATATGAAAACTGGGCCGAGCTGGGTAATGAGTCGTTATGGGCCACAATACGAAGGGCTGAGTAAAAAGGCCATAAAGTTACTCCGGTCCAAAGAAGGCTTAAAGTTACTCCGGTCCAAAAGAGGCTTGAAGTTACTCCGGTTCCAAAGAGCATACAGTAAGCTCGGTCATCACACAAAGTTATCTTGGTCGGGACCACGTTATTGGTTATCCCGGTCGAGACATACCATGGTTAGCACTGGGAGAAACCGGGGTAAGAGTAGTGAATGGAAGAGCCGAGCTAAAGTTAGCTCGGTCTAGTCTACGGCTTAGCATAGCCATGCTTACCTTAGTCATATTGGAATCCGACCATGGTAAAACCATCTCACTTGGTTTAAGTAGTGAGGAGGGTGTTGAAGGATAAGCATTTTCTTTTAGGAGTATGACTCCTAGGAGGAGTCTACATGGAGGAGTAAGAGTCCTACTAGAATTGTGCCACGCGGAACCTATAAAAACTCACAACATCACCTATGGAGAGGTAACACAACTTTGATTTTCGAATACACAGAGCTTTTGTCTATTTGTCTATTTTGCTGACTTAGGCATCGGAGGGGTATCCGGCACACACCCGCCGGCTAGCTCACGTTTGTGTTTTCAGGGAATAAAACAACGACGTATGGAGGAGCGCAAACTTGATCAACAGGATTATACAAGAAGATTTATTTCTTTCCCGTACACTATCAATTCAACCTATCATTTGCCAACAAACACATGCTATCCATAGGGCTACTTCACTAGGATACGGGATCACTGTTGTGAATCCCTTGTTGCGCCTAAAACGACATAATTTTAGCTTTTTTTTTTCTTTTATTTTCTTCTTTTTCTTCTTTAGATCATGTTCTCACTACGTTTTTTGGCATGATAAATTACACTTTGTCCTTATATTTGATTACTTTTTTACTTTAATTCTTAAAATTTATGTTTTTTTTTATGTTGATCTTTTATGTTTCAGATTTTTTTCAGTTTATTTCTAAAGCTAATTTTTATTAAAAATTAGACCAAACATAGGATATTAACAGTCACAAAAATATTTTTATTCATTCTATTTAAATTTTAAGAATTAAAATGAAAAAATGACCAAACACAAGGAGAAAGTATAATTTATCATGCCAAAAAATATAATAAGAACATGATCTAAAAAAGAAAGACAACAAAAAAAGAAGTGAAACTATGCCTTTTTAGGCATAGCAGGGGTTCACAACAGTGACCCTATATTCACTTTGCTAATAGTCCAATCATACCAATTAATTAGCCAAATAAACATGTCTTAATTGACGTAGTAATTGTACACAAAAATTAAATTAGTTTTTATGAATGAATGCATTACCTAAGAAAAAAAAATGAAGTTATTTGTATGTATTTTTTTTATTAATCCACATTTAATTCATTTTTGTAAAGAGTAGAAAATAAAAAAATCAAATTTTGTAATTTTTTTATTTACTATTAAATTTAGTTATTTTTATTTTTAATAAACTTTATTCAAAATTCTCTCATTTTTTTTTAATTTTAAAAATTGTATTATCAAGATGGATTTAAAAATAAATAAATTTATTTAAATTTGGAAAAAGTAAAAAAAAAATTAAAAATAAAAAAATAAATTGAAACAAAAAAGAAATAAAAACAAAAACCCTTAAATAGGAGAAATTAAGAAGACAACTCGCGCGGCGCACCTTCTCGAATGGCAATCTACTCGACTCTGCTGCTGTTAAGGCAACGCCCGTCCCTGTAGTATTCTCACTTCACTTCTCATGAGGATATCTTTCAGAGGAAATGCCCTTTTGTCTCGCCTCAAAGCCTTACTCACCATACAGGTCTTTCTCTCCGTCTCTCTCAATGTCGTTTCTTGGAGGCATTTCTTCAAACAGGTTTCTAACAATTCTTCTGTGTCTGGAATTTACATATTTCACGGCAGAGAATCAACCATACCTTGGCCGAAACTGGTGCTCAAGCTCAATACTATGCCGACGTGATGTCTGGTTCAGTGCTCGAGCAAGGTACACACACATTCTCGAATTTCCCAAATTTTGCATTCTACTTGCTTCTATCTTATGCATATGTATGTACATATGCTTTCTTTTAGTTAGATAATCGGAACACAAAGTGCGAATTGTGAGCAGAGAAATCATTTTCCCCCCCTCCAGTTTGTACTATCTTTTGGGTTCCTTCACGCCGTGTTTGGTTGAGAGAATTGAGGGGATTTGGAAATGGAAAGGGAAAAGGAAAAGTTAGGTGAAATGTGAATAAAATATATTTACATTTCATCTAGTTTCACACATTATTTTTCTTTTTCTTTCCAAATCTCTCTCTAAATTCTCCAACCAAACACACACAGCCTAAATTCTCCAACCAAACCCAGCATTATGGAATATAAATGAAAGTATACTTCTTTAAGTTTTTTTTTGTTTTTTTTGTTTTGAAAATGATATCTGTGTAGGAAGGAAAATTGATATGTGAAATGGAGAAAAATTGGATTCGAGATCCTTGGGGATTACTCGCTCAATGATCTCTTCGTCCTCGTGGATTGTTGTGAAGGTTCTTCAGAGTGAAGGTGCTGTTTGGTTACACTTGTTTGCATCTTTTCATAATGTTTCCCCACATATTATTGCATGTGCGCCTTTTGAGATGGATTTACATTCTAAAAGATCCTAAATTTAGTCACTTCATTTTTTTTTGGGTATTATACTAGGTATTGAAAGGATGCATGGTTTTCCTCACCCTTTTGCCCTTCTAAACACACATGGGTTTTGTTTAATGTCTAAAAACAACAAACTAATAGATATACCCTCATTTTAGGCATTGGTAACCTCATCTAGTGATTGTCCAAGAATGTTTGTAATTTAGAGTTATTCAAGTTTTCATGTTGTAGAGAGAGTAATTACTTTTTCAAATTGTTTCCTTAACCATTCTATGAAGATCTTGAGGAGAATAGCTGTTGAATAGTAAAAGCATCTATCTGATTTGTTGGTGTAGTACGAGTTCAAAGCATTACTATGGGCCACTCGTCCATTCTTAGATTTTGTGTTGCTAACTTGCTACTAAGTTTGAGAGCTCAATTCATGTTTGTACATTTTTCAATGGTCTTAAAAAGAATATTTTATTTTTATCCTTTTTTTTGAATTGAATTGAAATTCGTTTAGTTGAAAACTGTGTTACATGGACTCGGCACTTGGGGCCGAAGTACCCGTGTCGACACGACACGACACGACACGACACGGGTGCGAGTGCGGGTGTGGGATCTGTGTCAGATTCGCTTGTTCTCTCTCGGACACGGCTCTTCACAGATACCAAAAGAAATGAAAGAGGTGAGAGCAAGAGAGAACCTGGTCGAAGCTTTATCCAGTCGATCCAGTCGAAGATCGAAAACCTCCAATCGAAGCTCCATCCTTTCGATTCAGTCGAAGATTGAAGCTCCATCAGTCAATCAAACAGCCGAACACCCCCAGACGACTTCGAAAAGCCTCTCTCTCTCTCTCCCTCGCTGTCGCTATCGCTATCGATGGCTTCGCTTCTCTCCCCCCCCCTCTCTCTCTCTCTCGTTTCTCTGTCTCTTGATTCGTATCTCTATTCGTATCTAATAATCTATAATAATAATCTATCTATAATAATAATAGTTGTTTATATATAATAATAATAATAGTTAAGGAACTGAATAATAAATAGTAATAACTATTATTATAATAACTATAATAATAACTATTATTATATATTACATAATAATTATTATATAACATAATATATACTTATATATATTAATAAAAAAATAAATACATGTATGTAAAATAAAATAAAATAAAAAAATTAATTAGAACATATTATTTAAAAAATAGAATAAATAAATAAAATAATTAATGTATATTAAAATAAAAATATTTATAAAAAAATTAAAAAATTTGCCGTATCTCCTGTCGTGTCTGTCACACTCCAAACTTGCCCCTAAAAGTTCGGGCATGACACATTCAAAAACAGACATATAACCTGGTATATATAGCATATGGGGCCTTATCGGAAGCGCAAAATGTTAAAAGAATAATAAACCAAACAAACTCCATTGAGCTATTTCTAATATGCCAGGATCTCATACATCACATGCACCATAATAGGCCGATAAAGTCCAAAAAATATTCCTTAGCAGTACTTATACACAAACACATATACAGACCCAGCCCTATAATCGGGCATGTACAAAACTATTAAAGTTATATACATTCAACCTTGGAAGGATGGTAAAGAAGAAAGCCAATTATCTTAATAAACTTCAAAAAAAATAAGTGGCTTTGTAAGTGCCTGGATACACGAAGGTTGACAAAGGTTGACAAAAGAAACCGGGCGTCATGGGTTAGAACTAACCACCTGGTTGGTTACCTACAGAAACAGACATATAGAGAGTGAGGCAGGCTTAGTGAATAGTAATACATAAATGAAACAATGCTTAACTTGAAACATGACACATATCGACACATATCAACACATATGGAAGTGCAGAGGTCACATAGTTAGCCTGATTCTGTGTTCATCTTATAACGGCCTTAGGCCCAGTCTTGAACATAGCAGCTTGACATATCACATCTTAAATCATAATGGCTTGAAGCCCTTGAACATGGTGGCATAATGCCCTTGAACATGGTGGCATGATGCCCTTAAACATGGTGGCACAAAGCCCTTAAACATGGCGGCATAAAGCCCTTAGACAGAGTGGCATTACGCCCTTGGATAATTTGGCATTAAGCCCTTGAATATACTTATACGAATTCAAGAGGTGTCTCACACGGATTCTAGAGGTGGCTCACGTCGTAGCACTTAGTTCCGTGTAGCACTTTGTTTCATATCATAACAACTTATATAGAATGGCCGTAGGCCCAGAGTCTTATAGAAGGAAGGTATTTTATCTTTCCCATTTCTTTCTTTACATACTTGAAACATACTTGAAGCATTAACATACATACTTGAAACATTAACATAGTTGCATACTTGAAACATTAACATAGTTGCATAAACGAAATGCTAATGAAAATCATTAGCCATATGTAAAGCGAATAATGATACTACTGCTCACAGTGTTGTGATGATGTGCTTGTTCCTCCCGGAGTGTGCCCTGCACACATTCAACGTTTATAATTTAGTTTCCTTTTCATATCAAATTACTTTCTGTTTCGTTTTACTTCGAAGGAATTTATACATATTAAAAGGCATCAAATACATATTCCGACCACATTAGAGGGTTCTACACGCAAAACGGAGCGATCCGCGTTTTTCAGCATGGGCCGCACGTGCGGCTGTATGCCCCCGCACGTGCCTTTTAAGCAGAACCAAACCCAAAATTTTCAGCATTTGCCGCACGTGCGGCAGTGACTCCCGCACGTGCGGCGATTCCCCTGTTTTGGTCCGAAATTTGCATCAAAATCCCATTCTTTTGGGAGTGTTTGCAAGACTCTAAAATGGATCTTTTCATTGCCAAATTATGGTTCAAAAAGCATGAAATTTAAGGTACAATATACAACACTCTAGCTTGAATTAAATCCATGCACATAACTCAATTCAATGGACCAAAAGTTGAAACTCATAAACACACTTCCATGTTTTGAGGTTCTTTGCTTCACATGCACATAACATAACATAGATACACAAAATCATGCTCATAATAATGAATACCAACTTGATAATGAAGGAAACACATTGTTGGCACATAAATTTTAAACCAAATTTATGTTTAAATTTCAAATACAGTCAATGACACACATAGAGCCTACAATAAGATTGTTGTAGGCAATCACTTCCCAAAATGATTAATTTGCTCCGTTGAAGTGTATAAATAAAACAACGTCGTATCTTAACGACGTTATTCAAGATGCTCAAATGACACGTGGAGCCTACGAAAGATGACACCTGTAGAGCCTACAGCAAAGACACCACACAGGATGAAACCCCAAAGATCAATTCGGTTAATCAGATATACGATTAATCAGATAGCGCTATTATTCAAAATTTAAATGGCGTTATCATTCAATTTGAAATTCAAATAGGCGCTATCATTCAATTTGAAATTCAAAATGAAGATGAAGCGTTCCTATCACCTGATGGCCCTCCATAAATATGAGGACCATCACACAAGACTGGGGGATCGGAAAATCAAAAGGGAAAAGATCAGAGAGAGGGAGAAAGAAATTGAGAGCTAAAGAAGTCGTTACAAAAAAAGAAGAAGAGAAGCCTAGAGAACTGAAGAGCCTACACTAATGGCGATGAATAGGTAAAGGGTTCCAAACCCAAACTGTATTTTGTATTCGAGGGTTCAAAACCCATAACAATCTCAATAAAATATTTCTTTTTTTTTAATTTGTCATTTGTTGCTTATTTTGTTCTTCATTAATCGGAGGTTTCATTTGTATAAAATGTGTAATTAACGATCTGAAATACAGATCGGAAATAAGAACCTGCTATTCAAACAATCAACACTGTTTAGTCAAAAAAACTAAACAGTGGACATTTGTAACATAAAATTTTGAAATGTGTTGTAACACTTCATGTTTTAAAATTTGTGTCTACACACATGATGATAGGATTAACATACCAAAATTTCAACACACACACACACAAGACCTCCATCACAATTTAGATCATTCTATATCAAAACTTCCTATTTCACCTTGGGGAAGAGGTTTGGATTAGGGGAAATTGAACTTACCTTAGCTTCAATCCCTCTCAAGGCTTCCTTGTTCTTCCTCTCAACACTTTACTCCCAGAGAACATTTTATGAGGTAGGTCTTAAGTCCTTTACTCTATGAGAAGCTTATAGATATATATAGATATATTGATTGAATAAGGACAAAAAGTAATCGTTTAAACATCCGAAATTGAAATTTCCCAAAAATGCCTAATATTACCCAAAAATTATGCTGATCACATATATAAAATCAATTTCAAATAATTAAGCCCTTAAGGCCTCCAATTTCGACTCAAACCTTCTAATGTAACAGATACTTTTCTTGTTAAACAGATAGACTTCCTTTAAACATATGGTTCACTTACTTAACTTTAATTCCTCATAGGATTTCACAATAAGCATTCGAAATCATAAAAGAGGGTCCGAAAACATAACAGAGAACATGTACGAGGGTCGGGTTATTACAGTGTCCGTATCCCCATTTTTTAAAAATTGTCGTGTCCCGTGTCTGCGTTATAATAAATATATATATTTTTTAAAAAACTATTTAACGTATCCCTGTACCCGTATCCTAATTTCGATACATATCCACGTATCCTTAATTTTTAATTTTAAAGTGTCCGACCACTAGATACGCACCCATACCCGAGTCCGTGTAACATAGGTTGAAAATTAGAGCATTTCTTTACTGGGAAATTCCATTCGAAGGTTTGCAAGCTTATTGATTAATTTGGATTTCAATTAAAACGTAAAATCGTTTGAGGAATGATGACACATGTCATGCAAATATGTAGATATATTTCACTCTTACTATTCATACAAGTAGGGGTGTGCGTGATATGATGAAGTGCGGTTTAACAATAAAATTATAAATCAAATCATGAATGGCGCATTGAAAAATAACCAAATTGCTGTTTGGGCAGTTTCAATTTGCTAGTTGATTGAAGAATAATCTTAAACAATTATCATGCATTTGTACAATATATAACACTAATTTGTATAATATTTTTCATAGATATAACAATAACTAATTTTACATAATATTTTTCATATATATAACATTAATTTGCAACAAATTCCACATCTTAATGTATCAATTATAGGGGAGCACGGTGGTTTCGAAAGCGGGTTATAAATTTCAAACTGTGGATCAAACTAACCCACAGTTAGCGGGCGGATTGGGCAGTTTTAGAAGATTAGACAGTATTTTGCACAACCCTACATACAAGCATCGCTCAAATAAATAGAAGTTAAAGGAATTGAGAACATGGTTCGATATATTAAAATTGTTCATGATGTTGGTTTGTGTTGAATTTGATAAATATCTGGTGCATAGGTTGTCTTATAACAACACTTCTAAAATCTGTTCTACCTTTTTGAATGAAGACACAGGTTTCTCTGGCTTTTCAAAATGGTAAGAATCTTGCATTTTCTACCTTTGCAACTTTGCTTGTTATTACTCAGAGAAATAGACAAACTCTGGCGAGAAGTAACTAACAGGAACTTGGAGAAAACTAAGTGCGGAGGAGGAAAGATACAGTTAGACAGTATTTCAGTGCATCACTGCGTGGTCCACTCCTAGTAGCTAATAAAGCCTTACAGATGCTAACATTTGGATTTAGCCTGACACAAAATACAGTTAGCCTTATTTTTGTAATCATAATTGAACCATAGTAATTGACGAATAATTTTGTTTGTGTGGAATAAACAATGAATACACCATAACATATAATGTGGAATTGCATTTTTATACAAGGATGTGCATAAATTATTGCTAAAGATATGGATCATGTCTAAGGAAAAAGGATAGCTTGTGCTTTGAAACAAGAAAAGAGAAAAGGCCCACTAATGAATTTTTGAAGCTAAATTTGAAGGACAAGGAAACCAAATCACCATTTGAGGAGGGTAAAATTGTTTCTCACATGAACCAATGAAAAAGCACTTTTCTTTAGCTTAAGAGTCCACCATCTCCTTGGTCAATTTAAGCATCCATTCAATTCAGCTTTTGAAGAAGATGATAAATCCAAAATCTGTTTAAGAAGGTGTTCATAGCATTTCGGCCCACGAAAAAGATTTTACCCATCCAACCATCTCAACAAAATTGTGTTAAATTAAAAAAAAAAAAAAATGTTTCAAGTTTGAGGCAGACAAATGGGGTGATGAGTGATTAACTAAAATCATGTCCATGATTGCAGAGTGCCACAAAGTCTTAGCTCTTCGCCATCTTACAAGGCTTCCCAACAAAAGGTTCAAGGTTTGAATGTTGGAGTGTTCACCTAACATTTGTCTTCATAGCCAAAAGTCTAATTAGCTCTGTTATCAAAATCTTACGATACGCTATTCAATTCACAGTTCATGCATGGATCAATATGAATCTATGGGTGTATCTATTTTAAAATAGAATCTATAGTAAACTGAATCACATGATTCACAATTGATTCATGATTTGATTTTGTTTTTACAATTCTTGTAATTCTTAAAATTATCGCGTCAAGCAAATTTCGACTTTTTTTAACTTTATTTTAATGTGAAAATGATATAATATGCCTTGTAAAAGTTTTTAGTACATATATCCACTTTATGCACTTGGAGAGGGGCTTTCACTTGTATATGTGGACTATGGAGGAAGGCTACCGCAATTTTAAAACTCTATTGCAGATAATAGTAGATCAAGTATGCTCAGGAGTAGAGGGAACCGAAGGAGATGTTTGATCATGAACTTCCTCCAACAGTAGCTTTTATTGTGTGCTTCTATGGTCTTCTTGTTATGAGTGTTTCACTTCTCATTCTTTGAAGGTCTCCCATTCTTAAGAATCTTCTAACATGCAGGGTTTCAAGCCTACTTAGTAGGTGGGTGTGTAAGAGACTTATTACTAAATAAAGTTCCAAAAGATTTTGATGTGATCACCACAGCGGCACTTAAAGAGGTATTGTGATGCGGTTTTAGAATCTTGAAAACTCCAGTGATTAATAATGTAGTGTTTGCATTGTGAAGTTTGAAATGTGGACTATATTTTTTTTTTGTTTCAGATCAAGAAGAAGTTTAATCGTTGTGAAATTGTTGGACGGCGTTATCCTATATGTCTGGTGCATGTTAAAGGTTCCATTGTTGAGGTTGGTGGTGCACATGGTTATTATGTTAAAACCTTCTGTATAGTGTCTCTTTAAGGAATACATTAGTGCAGTCTTTTATTTGGAATCTTATCCTGGGTTGGTTCTTTACATTGTTTGATTGTTATTGTCAATACAATTATTTTGAAACCAGGTATCCAGTTTTGAAACAGTAGCAGAACGTACTAAAGAAAAAAAAGAATTTCTTCTCTCTCAAATGCCACATGGCTGCGACGTAAAAGACTTCATTATCTGGAGGAACTGCATGCATAGGGACTTCACAATTAACAGGTTTATATTCAGTTTTCTGTGCATATGATGTTCTAGGTTCTATTGGGACGAAGTATGTTTAGTTGCACTGAGTTATGAAATTCTAGATATGCATCATGAGCAATTTATTTTCATTGTCCATGCTACTAGCTTATCAATGTTAAAAATCTAAATACTCATCTATATTATCTAAACCCTATTATGTTTTGTTGATGCTACTTAACTAGTTGAAGATTGTTTTTGTGAAATTGTTGAAACAGTTTATTCTTCGACCCCTTTGTGAATGAGATATATGATTATGCCAATGGAATGATGGATTTAAAGTCCTTAAAGGTGTTTCTCATTATCTTTTAGTGAAAGAACCCTGCATTTATGCAATTATTTTCAGTTTGTGTTCTTGGAAGTTTGATGAGGTATTTTTTGCTGTTATGAATTCAGCTGCGGACATTAATCCCTGCTCAGCTGTCTTTTGAAGAGGATTGTGGTAGGTTCATCCATATTTTAAATATAAATTCATTTAGCACCATGACATGTGGAGCCAGTGGCTGAATATGGTATAAAAACTAACTATAATATGGTATTTCATTCAGCAAGAATATTGCGGGGCTTGAGAATTGCAGCTCGTCTTGGTTTGTCTTTTTCAAAGGAGACTGAGATTGCAATACGTAAACTCTCTTCGTCTGTTACAAGCTTAGCTAAGGTACTCCTCAAAAAGGTTACCATGCTGCCTGAATTTTTTAATTTAAGGTTCCTTGGCAATTGTGGCCCTTTGTTGGATATTTTCTTCTTTCTATTGTCGAATACCTTATCTTTTGTCTCTTGATTCTCTTTCTTCTTGATATATGTTGTAACCTATGGAAAGGGACTCTTTAATAGCTTTCTCTTCAGATCGGTCTGATTGTCCATTTATTTTTCTGGTCATCAATTCTTTCTTAGCTTACCAAAATGTCATCCTGTATTTATTCAGTCTAGAATAATGATGGAGTTGAACTACATGCTGTCTTATGGAGCCGCCGAACCTTCTCTCTGTTTACTTCAGAGGTTCAACCTTCTTGACATTTTGCTACCATTTCATGTAAGTTGTTTTTCAGTTGCAGCTTTGCTGTTTTGTTGTACAATTTTTGGTTGAATAGACAAGCTTATATTTAAAAACCTGTTTGGATTACAGGCAGCATACCTTGCTCAACAAGCCCGTGAACAATACTGTCAAAGTTCTGCGATGTTGATGGTAGACTTCATTTCTATAAAACTTCTTTTGAGAATAACAACTTAAGGTCACCCTATGTGTGTATAATCTGTTTTTAATATGACCTGTTGAATTTTTTTTATTGTTCCAAGGCTAATTGGGCTGTAAATTTATCTGACATATCACTTTATATTGGTTTGATCATTGATGGTCATAATTCTTGTATTATTAAATTTCTTGCATTATTAAAGTATTCCCCATCATTTAAATATGTTTAGTTGTTAGTAATTATCTTCTTTTCTTTTACAGAAATTATTTTTCAATTTGGATAAGTTGTTTACTTGTGATCAACCAGCAGATTGTCGGTTGTGGTAAGTTGATTTTTTAATTCAATGGAGTTAATTGGCTTCATGACATCATTATTATTGCCAATGTTTTCCAGGCCTTGTGATGTTTACCTTTGTAGAATCCATATCATATAATAGCAGAAAACTCTATGTCATGACCCGCACCCACCCCTAAAAGTTTGGGTCATAACCGGCCAGCAATCCGTAGATTACCGAAGGCCTCAAATGATCATACAGAATATTTATGCTAATGGGGTCATAAACGGAAGCATGTAATAAGGAGAAGTCCATTGAGCTGTGCCAATCACGAGCAAAATTGTGGAGTTAACCACATAACACAATAATATATATACATGCCCATCAAAAATATAAGAGCCATGGGGAAATTATACAGTGTTTACAACCCAAGACCATGAAAGTAAAAACATAATAAGGTCAAAGTGTGGTGTGAGTCAAGACAAAACTCCGTCTCGGAGGCACGACTTGATTGGGTCACCAAAAGGCTCCTGAAGTTGACTCTAGGGGTGTGCTCCATGTTACTGATCACCTACATGTGCATACATAAAATTGAGTGGGCGAAACTCAATGAGTAATAATACAGTAAAGCAATGTAAGTAGATGATCATAAGATTCTCACAATATTCATAATCATATTAACCAAGCGGCCTTAGGCCCAAGCATATAACAAGCGGCCTCGGTCTCAATTATTTAACAAGCGGCCTCATGTCCAATCATTTAACAAGCGGCCTCAGACCCAATTATTTATCAAGCGGCCTTGGGCCCACTTATTTAACAAGCGGCCTCGGTCCCAATCATTTATCAAGCGGCCTCGGGCCCAATTATTTAACAAGCGGTCTTAGGTCCAATCATTTAACAAGCGGTCTCGGACCCAATCATTTAGCACATGTCATATAATATCAATGAAGTTTCATAATTTCCAATCAATTCATAATGTTGGCACCAATCACCGTTCATAGTTTAAGATACGCAACAAAGAGTATAAGTGTACTATATTACTACTCATCGTGTGTTTGGTCTTGTATCGTTGCCTCTGGCACACAACCTACACAAAACATATCACATACACATTCGGTAAATCATTTGTTTCAATTCGTACACTTTTCTTTAATTTCTTTCAAGTGTTCAATGCTAATCTCCTCCACATGTGAATCATGTACAAAGCATGTGCCAAAGATGTAATTTAAACGGCCCTAAATGTTCATGACTTAAATCAATGTTTCCTACAATAATTTCATATGTTTTTTTATTGAACGTATCATGTTTACTTATTTAAGGTTTAAGGAAATAGCAAGAAGCGAAAGGAAACTAAATTAGGGTAAGAAATGACATGAAACCGTTAAAAGAACATAAACAACCTTCATTAATTTGAGTATATCTATTTGTGTACTTAGAATTTGGATGTGAGACCACCATTAGAAACTAGACTTCAAGGGCGTGAATTTAGACTCAAGAATCGTTTAAAACGGAATCTGGATGAAGGAGATATGCATTTTTTAAGTTGGGCTGAAACAGGGATTCCGCACATGCGGAAGTCTTCACCGCTTGTGCGGCCCAAATATGCTTGAGCGGAAAAACCGGCCGCTCGAGCGCCCAAGGAGCAGAATGAAAACCTTTTTTTTTCTTCATGTTCTGCTCGTGCGGTGCCCGTGGCCCATCGTGCGGTCTGGGCAAAATCAGACAGTTCGAAAATGTTCAAAGGTGCAAACTTCCTAAACTCATTTCTAAGCTCAAATTCATGTAAAAACAACTCAAAAACATGATATATAAGTATGATACAAGCATAATTCCACATTAAACATATCAACCTTGCATCAACAACAAATTCATGTACTCATCTCTTTCCCATATTCATACATTATATAAAACAAATTCAAAATATATGATCCATGAGCAAATTTTCAACAAATCTTGTTTTCATGAATTATCTAGGGTTTGTTTCATGGGTCGATCACAAGAGTGAACTTAAATCAAACCAAGATGGAGAAATTAGGGTTCAATTTCATGTCTTTAGCTGAAGCCACCACACAACTCAAAACCCTAGCTCAAAATTCATAATTTCTTCATGATTTCAAGACAAAGATTAGTTAGAGACAAAGATTGTGAGTAATTTAACATACCTTAACCCAATTCTAAGGTTTGCCCCTTGATTCCCTTCAAATCCCTAGCTTTCTCCTCTTCCTCTCTCTCTATCTCACACTTTAAGCTCTCTTTCCTCAAAATGAAGAACAAAAGGCTAAACATATATAACTCAAAAATCTTAATTTATTCATTACAAATTATAATTTTTCAAAATCTCATCAAAGGCTCGAAAAATCATGCCAAACACAAATATGAAGTCGGTTTTGGCTTATCGCGTCTCTAAGGCTCTCCATTTTCAGTTCAAAGTTCCAATTGCAATAGATATTCTTACATTCAACAGATATAATCCCAAATTCACATAATTCACATACTTAAACTTTCAAATTCATATTAAACACATAAACACGGGTATAATTAAGCATAGTACGAGTTGGGCTATTACACTCTGTTTGGTTTAGATTTTAAATCTACTTTTGGATTGAAAAATCCAAAAACATGTTTGGTTTAGCATCTCCCAAAATACAACACAAAATTGTTTTTCTCTTTCTCCTCTCTCCTTCTCTCTCTCTCTCTCTTTTTTTTTACACATCAATCAATTACTTTTTCTCTTTCCTCTCTCCTCTCTCATTCCCTTACGTTTTACACATCAATTAATCAATTTTTCTCTTACACCCATCTATTCAACTACCTAAAAAAATAAATAAATAAATAAAAAAACTTACAAATCATCCTAAAATTATTTTCAAAATTCATAACCAAACAAGTTTTTACTTTCAAAACTCTTTTCAAAAACTTATCTATCAAAATACAATTTAAAACTCAAAACTCTTTTCAAAAATTAAACCAAACAGAGCCTACTCACAGAGGCTGTCTAGGTTAATCAAATTCCTTTGACCTGGTAAACTTTCAGTACCATATCCAAGAGTGGTGCTTCCACTGTGCATATTACTTGCATTCTTGATGCCTCCACAGGCTTAATGTTTCTTGTTCTTTTGCTGTTTAAATCCATTATCATTTTTCTTTTTGAAGGAGATATTTTCTTCAACCTTTTGGATCAGTATGTTCAGTATGTTCTTTCGTACTTCTGGTGTTTTGCCTTTTATGCATGCCTAATAGATGCTTGCTATGTTCTTGTGATTTTGTATACCCCTCCGTGTAAACTGCTTCTTTTCTGATCCTGATCAGTGGATGTATATAATCCTTCCATTCATTTTGGATGTTTATTGACTTCTTACATAGTGGAAACAAAATAAGTTCTATATTTGTTGATGGGAAAATGCAGTTCTTTGGTTACATCCTACGCACTGTACTCTCCTTTCACTCAGCTAATTAAAGACACACCTGTTTGGTGAAGGATGTGATCTCAACCAATATATGGGATACCGAATACTACCAGATTAATAGATAGAGTGGTTTTAATGACTTTTGAACCATCTTGCATTGCTTGATTTGTTTCTAGTATAATCCCGAGGCTTGTAGGATTGGATTGTTAGGTGTTGTGTTGGCATGCATAGTTTGTGGCTCTTATGTGTTTTCTGTCTCCAAAATTCTGTTTGTGAGGCTGCTTTCTGAAACTTTTTATGTGCATGGGACAGGGTTGGACTTTTGGCATTTCACCTGGCATTAGTAAACAATCCCCAAGATGCTCTTGTAGTTTGGACTTTTGCTTCTGTTCTGTATCATGCGAGATGGAAGGAAGGTGTTAAATTTGCAAGAGAACATGCTCAAGGATCAGTTATTTTTATACCTGAGATTTTGGAGGCTTGTAACATTATGTCAGAAGATGAACTTGCAGAAAGAGTCACTCAATTTGCACAGGTAGTCCAAGACTCTGTAGATGCTTTGACTGAGACAGACTGCCTTCATCAAGCAATGTCCAGATTCCCAGATTCACCTTGCCCTGGTTTGGTAAAGTTTTGAAAGTCTTCTTTGTTAAAACATAAAATGCATATTGATTACCCGAGGTGGCCTGAACCAGCCATTGTATTCTGTCTAGTACCATTATGGCCTTTTTAGGTTAATCTTGCATCATAATTATTAATTACAACTATCCAATCCCTAGGCTTTTCTTTTTTCCTTAAATACCTGTTCTCTTCTTACTTGGCATCTAGTTGTCATGATGGGTGAAACTATTTGGATGTTTTGTTGGGCTTTTAGTTGTAGTATTCACTTGTAATGATGTTACCCTTGGTCTAATTAAGCACTTGATGAAAGTGAGAATTTTTTTTTTTTTTACTCCAGGTATTTGTATCCAGGAAAATGAGGAGTGACACTGCCAATCTTTTTAGCTCGCTGGTGAATGATGTTAGATATTGTCAGAAGGGAAGGGTGAAATTTCATATTAATTATGAACTGCTTCGAAGGGGAAACTTGCGCGAGACAAGGTTGGTGTTTGGAAAAATTATCATGGATACCTTGAGTTGTGGGATTGTCCAAGAGAGTAAAGTAGTCATGGAGGAGAAAGATCACCTGCATGTATTTGATTGTGAACACAAGGTTGAGGTTCTAGGTGAGAACTGTGACCTCGCACCTTCTAATATCGAAATGCAGCGCGTTGTGGGCAAGGAGGATAAAAAACATAACGTATCACAGTCTAATACCGAACTACTACTGCAAGAGAGGGCCAAGAAGCAGAAGTTGATTGGGAAAAAGTGCAATCTTTCAGAGAATGGAAGAGTTAAGCAGCAGGCCTTTGTCAATGAAGAGTCCAAGAAAATAGCTAAACATTGGCAAGAGATGATTGAGAAAAATGGATTCCCAGATGCGGCTAAGAAGCATCAGAAGGGGGTTGAGAAAGAAAGAAGCTGTATATCACAAAATGAGATAATTCAGAAGCAGCAAAATCATTTACCATTTGACGAGAAAGTTGTTTTTCGAGCAAATGCTTTAGAGAAACTGGAGAGGGTTGAGAAGCATTTGAACGTGGTGGAGAAGCGGAAACATTTTGAATCATCACATGAGAATGAAAAACACGGTTTTCATCAGCAGAAAGGGAATACAGAGAAGAATGAAAAGAAAAAACAGGATGTAACCAAGGAGAAACAAAGTAGGCTGGTTCTGTCTAGCTTGTTTAGGTGAATTATATTTTGTCTGTTGGAAATTACATACCGGTCTTTTTAGGATAGCATGGTAGCATCATAAACCTGAAACTGACTCGAAAATCTTGGTTAGTCATTTCAGTTACCCTCTTTTTGGTTTTACTGGTCGAGTAGATTGTCAAATTTTTTCTGCAGGTAATGATAAATATTGAGTCATGTGGGAGAATTTCCTGTTTTGCAGTCTCTCATTTATTGTAATTTTATAGCATGTAGCTCTTCTTTTAACAGTTGAATTATTTGAGAAGTTGAGTGATGTCAACTATTTACTTGTATCAGTTAACAGCTATTTTGTAGCCTGTTAGATTGTTTATTTTGTAGCCAAAAACAACTCTCTCACGTGAAATTGGTATTACCTTTTGATCTCTATGTAAGTAGAAGAATTGCATAAATATTTATCCTCTACTTTTGCATGTGGCAAGACTCAAACTCTTGATTTGTTAATAATGTTTAAAAATTTGACCAAGTACCAGTTAATTTAATTTTTGATTTTTTTTTTTTTTTGTTGTTCAAAGAATTTAATAAAAAATTCCAGTTGATAGAAAATGTTTGTTGGACTTATGCCAATTTTGGCAAGTTAAAAAAAAGTCAAAAAGTTACCAAAAAAATAAAAATGTTATCACTATTCACCAAAAAAATATTAAAAAAATCAATATACAAATATATCTATTTCAAAAAAATTATTGCCTGTCAACGGTACTGACGCCAAACTCCACCGTACGTAAAAGAAAAAAAAAAAAAAAACATGTTTACATTCATTAACTCGGATGGTAAAGTTGGGTCCGTGGGGGTCTATCATGGGTCCCGTTTTGATAATTCGAACTGTTCAATATGTTGAGCTCGTCTAGTACTATATGCCTGTAAAAAATCACGTCTATCAGATATCGCTGTAAAAAATTACGTCTATCAGATATCGGTAACTACATGATCAAATCAATTTTATATAAAAAAGTCAAAAAGTGTTATAGTTAACAATTGACAAAAAAACTTACACGATCATATAGCTATCGATATCCAATCAACGTGATTTTTTACAAACATATAGTACTCGACGAGTTCTACACATTGAACGGTTCTGATTCGAAAAACGGGACCCGTGGTGACCCTCACAAGCCGAACAACACTTTCCAATCAAAGCCCAAAAAGGAGGCAATATTTTCCCATGTATTCAACCAGCCGATGCACTGCCATTCCGTACGCCTATTACACTATCTTCTCCTACACACTTCATTTATACAATTTTTTAATACACATTTTTTCATAAAAAGTCAAAAAGTTAACCCAAACATCCATATTTTTTTGAAAAAATTAGTCTAAGGTCCTTCTCTCATGTTTAGTAATGGAAGAGATCCACAATATTATTTTATGATGTCTAAGGTCCCTCAACCCCCACACTCATATATCACATAGAAATTTCTCAAATCAAACCTTATTCTCTCTCTCTCTCTCTCTCTCTCTGAACTCTCTTCATCTATATCAAGTGGATATCAACAAATAACATTCAAATTGTGCCTAAGCAGTTGAAGAATTAAAAGAAATCGATTATCTTGAGTGACAGAACATCACGGATCACAAGGCGATAATCGACGGCGACGGCAAGAAACCGAGAATTAGGCGAGAAACAACAAGGACCAGTCTGCTTAAAAGATTCTGTAAACTCCATCAGAGAGGCAAAATTTTCGTGGGAAACAAATAGTCAGTAAGAGACTTCAATTTCTCGAAACTAGATCCATGCTTTTTTTGGAATTTCATAATAGAGTGGATCATTTTTCAATGACTAATCACTGAGTTGTTTGTGTTTGTTTTGATTTCAGAACAAAATGTATTGTTTTTATCAATTTTTCTATAAAACCAATTGCTTTTGTTCTTTTTTGGGCTACTGCAATCAAATATTTGTTATTCATTGGTGTTGAGTTTCTTGTTTTTTTAATTGGGAAAACAATGGCAAACTACTCTTTGTATTTGTTATGACTTTTAGTGTTAAGTTTGCTAGTTTTGAATTGGCAAAGCAAAGCTAAGCAGTGCTTCATATCAATGGTGACTTTTGCATATAACAATTGTTGCGATTTTCTATAGCAACGTGATTGCAGATTGTAATTATAAGTGGAGGATATTATGTGTATGAGAAAAAGTTAAAAAAACATTTTAGCGTTTTCAACTTTTTAAAATTGCAGTAAGATTTTTTCAAAAACTCACTGGGCTGTAATATGTTTTACTTTTAGGAATTTTTATAGGCTAGTTTGCCTGATGCTCTTGAATGAGCCGCATAGAGTGGATCATTCATTGGTGTTGAGTTTCTTGTTTTTTTAATTGGGAAAACAATGGCAAACTACTCGTTGTATTTGTTATGACTTTTAGTGTTAAGTTTGCTAGTTTTGAATTGGCAAAGCAAAGCTAAGCAGCGCTTCATATCAACGGTGACTTGCGCATATAACAATTGTTGCGATTTTCTATAGCAACGTGATTGCAGATTGTAATTATAAGTGGAGGATATTATGAGTATGAGAAAAAGTTAAAAAAACATTTTAGCGTTTTCAACTTTTTAAAATTGCAGTAAGATTTTTTCAAAAACTCACTGGGCTGCAATATGTTTTACTTTTAGGAATTTTTATAGACTAGTTTGCCTGATGCTCTTGAATGAGCCGCATCAAGTGTGGTTTTTGCTTTCCCAGTCTCCACAGCCAGCAGTGCTTTTCAGTGGACGCAATGTAAATCCTCTTGATCTTTTTCCACAGGGTCGTCCAACTATGGGTTCAAATGCAACTGCTGGCAATCTAGAAAGGTTTGTCTGAGAATTTCTCTGGGTTGAGAGAATTTCTGTAGAAAGGTTTGTCTGGGAATTTCTCTGGGTTGGGGAATTTCTCTAATTATCTGTCTATGAGCGTGTTCTGGTTAGCTCCTCAGTTCATCATTCTTGAGACTGGAGATGGGTTTACACTTGTTGGCCTACAAGAGTACTTCTATGATCAAGTTTCAGATTCAATGAATTTGTGTGTGTACGTGTGGTATATATATGGTGTGTGTTTGGACTAGTAAATTGATTTTTTTTTTCATTTGAACTGAATTTTCTCTGGGTTGAAACCAGAGAAATTCTCTGGTTTTTAAACTAAATTTTCTCTGGGTTGGTCCAGAGAAATTCTTTGGTTTGGAGCTGGAACCTGGAATGCTTAATTTGTATAAAACCCAATGTTTGTGAAATCAAATTTTGAAACCCTCTTGTTGAGAAGGAGAACAATATTGATGTTGTTCGATTTCATCTCTCATTCTCTATAGAGAAATTCTTATCTAGAGAAATTCGGAAATTTCTCTGAAGAGAATTTCTCAGGAAAAGGCGAGAGAAATTCCCATAATTTGCTTGACACCAAGAGTGAAGGCAAGCAAAGCAGCAAATCACAGAGTTATTTGTGAGAAAATTAGTGAAAATTCAACCCTAGAGAAATTTCAAAATATAGAAAATCAAAAAAATTGAACAAACCAGAGAAATTTCAAATTTTTCTGGATGGAAATTTCTCTGGGTTAAAATTTCTCTGAACAGAATTTCTCTAGAGCAGAATTTCTCTGGATCAAATTGAGGGACCTTAGACATTATGAAAATATTAGATGTCCTTTATACTATAAAGTCTTAATACCAGGGATTCTAAAAAAAAAACTCCTATTTTTTTCCTCAACTTTTTAGTTAAAAAAAAAAAAGTACACTTATTTAAGACATCCCAAACAACCCCTTAATAATGATTCTGAAGCCAACTTTTGATGCCATTATTATTATTATTTGTGGAGAGTTTAATCAATACTAGGTAGTTAAAACCATTAAGAAATGATTAGTCAACAAAAACCAATTTATTTACTAGTATCGATCTAATTAATGCACGGCAAAATTTGTAATAATATGCATTAAATTTCAGTTTTACAATCGTCAAAGTTGAATTTTTATGACTATTAAATTCAATCATCAGAATTAGATTTAAGATAGTTAACCCATTTACAGAATAAATAAACAAAGCTACAAGTATGAACCAAAGCTTCTTTACACGTGCTTGTACCTAATCCTAAATCTCAAATTATATGTAACCCAAAAATCAATGTTGATATCAATTTTGCAACAAAGAGTAAGACCATCTCCAACGGTGAACCAAACCCAGCATCAGATTTAAATTTTGATGAAAAACTCACTTTTTCACGCTCTAACGGTTGCACCAAAGTCATACCAAAATGAGAATTCAGCAAACAAGACATCAAACTGAGATCAAGACACAGATTTTACCAAATCACTGTTACTGACCGTTGAAAATGCTACACCGGTCGACCAACCGGTTGCCCGGCCGGTTGACCAACCGGTCAACCAGTAAAAGATTCAAACAGTTCAGAAAAAATAGTTCAAACCGTTAAAAAAAAAAAAAAAAAAAAAAAAAAAAAATTTGCCTAACCCCTAACCGGTCAACCGGCCGGTCGACCGGCCGGTCGACCACCCCGGTTGTCCCGAAAAAAGTTCAGAAAGTTCAAAAAAAGTTCAGACAATTCGCCAAATCCTAATTTTCTAATTTTTTGATTTAAAAAAAAAAAACCTAAACTCAGCATTTGTTAATTTCTCCCAATCCTCATGCCTTTTGGGAGATTTGGTCAAAA